AAAATGCTTCTTTGTTATCCTGGCACTTTCTCCTTTCTGGTTTTGCTAAATGGCTTGCCAAATGTTGATTTTCTGTCAGTGTGTCACCTTCTTGAAAGGAGCATGGACCCAGGATATCCTTCACTTTCCTCCTAGCTTTTGGTACTTCCTTTATTTCGGGACCAATCATCCAGAATTTGAAGTCTTTCATGCGTCGCATTGCTTTTGTGGCATAGGCTGCTGAAGTCACTCCACATGAAAATAATGCAGGTCAATGTAGCTTTCTTCCCTTCCTTCTAACCACACAATTTAGAGTCCCTGAGCCCACACAGTGCATGAAGCACAGTGATATATATCCACAGATATCTGCTCTTCGTGCATTCATAGACTGTAGTCAATGAAAATTTATGCCACTTCTTTATAATGTGCTGCAAGACCCACTGTTGTTTTAGTTGCTGCAGACTAAGGTGGCTGTTCCACTGGAAAGTATAGTTGATGTTATTTATTGTGTTACTTTTCTTTTGTAGGCAACTCCAAAGCTGCGCCTCAGCGTTCTCTGCACCTCTACACTACAAAGTAAGAGTGCCTGACTGAATCTGTGATTGCTGTCAAAATAAGTGTATTATTTCTAGGGTTTTCACCAAGAACAAGAACTCTTAGGCTGTAATCTTAAGCTTACCTTGAAGTAAGTCCAACTGAACTCAGCAGGACTTGCTTCTGAGTAGACATGCCTAGGTTTGTGTTGCTAGTTGATTACAGCACAACCCTAACCATGTTTACTCAAAAGTAAGCTCTATTTAATTCAGTGGGGCTTGCTCCCAGGTAAGTGAGGTTAGGCTTGCAGCCTTAAACTCGTGTACAAATCTGCATAGTAACTCTGAAGAATAATACTTCTGTATTTCAATATTGCCGGCACATTATAGCCAAAGGCAGATTAGAAGCAACATTCCCCTTTCTTCTCGTTCACATAGAAGAGAATTCCTCTAAATTGATGCCCCTGTGTTACTCGGCAGTCATGATGTTTTCATGAAAGCCTAGGGGTGTCCTTGGAAGCCCAATTCATGGTTTGGAATCCAAACCATGGTTAGCAGTCACAAACCATGGTTTTGCTTGATGTCTGAGCTGAGCTGTTTTTAGTGTTACAATAGCAATCACGTCAAATTTTGCAAAAAGCAAGCATGAACGTGTCCTGCAAAAAAGCAGGGTTGCATTATGTCATAACTTTTTAGCTCAGTACAGTCTTATACTGACTAGAAACAGTTCCCCTGTGGTTTCAGGCAAGGGGGACATACCCCATAGGCTTGCTGCAGTTCCTTTGATTGTTCAGAAAGGAGTGATTTGAAATAATCATCTAAAAGCATGCTTTAGCAGAATACTATATATAAATTTTCAAGTCAACTAGAAGTTAACTGTCGAAGTCATCCATGGTTTGTCCTAATTTTTCCCTCTTTCTTTTGAATAGGCATTATCCCCATATAGTAACAGTCCCATCTTTTCCAACGATGGCCACATATGGACAGACTCAATATAGTGCAGGAATCCAGCAAACCTCTGGTTATACTGCATATCCGCCGCCTGGCCAACCTTATGGAATACCTTCCTACAGTGAGTAGTGTGCTAGCTGTTTCATTTTTATTTTCTGTAATAAGAAACTACAGTACATGTTGTGTAGAGCTGGGTTGGAAACCTAATGGGAGTTGTGGCTGCCTAGATGTTAGTCGGCACCACTGTGTGTTCCTCACCTCTGGTTTATAGGCCCTTACTTCATTTTACAAATGTCCGGACAACAACTGTAATTTTTCAAGAGTATCAGCAGCTGTTAGGGTGGCTGTTTCATTGGTTGAAGTGCATAAGCCTTTCTCTGTCGTTCAGTAGAGCAGAGAAACACAACCATGCACTCAGCCACTGTGCATTCAGCCGTACCGTACCTTGTGTCTGCATGCATGAACATTAGTTGCATTGCCAGAGGGTGCTGTGAGTGACGTTTGAAGCACGGCCATTGGTTAGATCCCTTCCCCCCCCCCCAGCATGTTCACTGAATGCATGGGTCAGATCATCTGAAAAGAGACACAGATATGGAAGAAACAGTGGGTCATAGTATCATGGTAGAAGGACTAGGAGTAGAAAAATCAAAACTCAGTGTGCCATCAGTTACTACTATTAAGCTGAAGAGGGAAGCAGACAGCATCTTCTGACTTTGTCAACACATATGCTCTGAAGCTGTGGAGAGGGTGGTCGATCAGGAGGTTCCAGCTTATTTAAGGAAGACGTTCTTGCATGTTAAGAGGGTAGGGTTAGGCAAATTGGTCCTCATTCCCTGTTAAGTAGTAGTATGGGATACTGGTGGCATGGAATATTTGTAATCTGAGTTACTGGGGGACGTATTCCGAGCATAATTCAAAGTGTTGGTGCTGACCTACAAAGCCCTAAATGGCCTCGGTCCAGTATACCTGAAGGAGTATCTCCACCCCCATCGTTCTGCCCGGACACTGAGGTCCAGCTCCAACGGCCTTCTGGCAGTTCCCTCACTGCGAGAAGCCAAGTTACAGGTAACCAGGCAGAGGGCCTTCTCGGTAGTGGCACCCACCCTGTGGAACGCCCTCCCACCAGATGTCAAAGAGAAGAACAACTACCAGACTTTTAGAAGACATCTGAAGGCAGCCCAGTTTAGGGAAGCTTTTAATGTTTAACAGACCACTGTATTTTAATATTTTGTTGGAAGCCGCCCAGAGTGGCTGGGGTATAAATAAATTATTATTATTATTATTATTATTATTATTATTATTATTATTATATGTTCAGTAGTTGGCCAGCCAAGAGATCTGTGCCTGGTATGGGACACTTGCATATTCCTGCATTGCAGAGGGTTGGGCTGAATGATCCTGCAAGGTCCCTTCCAACTCTACAATTATATGATTCTATATAGAGATTCTATATAAAGCATAGCAAACTCTAGTCTAGATGATGGCACTACTTATATTTTACATACACATGCGGTGTGCATTTTCAGACATACACTGTAGCAAAATTAATAGAGAGCAGATGTTTGTTTTGAGACCCTGCCTTGCTGTTTTCAGCAGCTGAGAGTCTGTGTGCTCACAGCATAGAACAGCCACGCTTCATCCTGTACAAACAGAGATCGTGTTAGATGTATTTGGAAGGCTGAGATCTCCTTTTGTTTTCTCAGTGGAACTTCCCGTTCGTGGAGTAATGTGCATGATTTTTTCAGCGTGTAAAGGGCATAGTGTGGGGGGTTAAAACAAAATCACAGAAACGGCCAAAAAGCTGGAATGTGCAATGCACTGCATGATAAAAAAACTTTGGGTGTAGTAAAATTAGTACTTGCAGTAGCAGTTCAGAAGAGTGGAAATGGAAGACAAAACACTGAACCAGCATCTGAAACACTTGTAGTCTTTTGCTGTTTGTTGTCATAGCTGGAAGTAACATTTGCATGATCTGATCCAAGCACACAAACTTTGAGTAAATCAGAACTTGGCTGGTACTGAATAACTGGAGATTACCATGCAGGAGAACTGGTGCAATACCTGAGCAACCAGCGGACTCAGGATGAGGATTCTGGGTCATAATGCATTATGCAGTCTAGCAGTGGGAAGAAAGTGTGGGGGGGAGATGAGTATTATTATTATTATTATTATTATTATTATTATTATTATTTAGTAAATTTATGCAGGCAACTCCCAATTTACGCAGGGGTTACGTTTCAAGGCACCACACGTATTAGTGAAACACCATTGGAAAAAAGCTTCAGGCACACCGTTCTGCCCCTGCCCTGACCATTTCTGTGATGTTTTGGGGTCACTTCCTGGTTCGGTGCAATGCGCTCATTCACAGTCATGCACATATCAGACGCGCCTAAAATAGTCGCTGCCTGTATAACAAGCTTCGTCCACGGGTAGTTTTTACAACATAAAAACACAAGATGCATGACATAATAATAAAAACAATACAGTGGTACCTTGGGTTAAGTACTTAATTCGTTCTGGAGGTCCATTCTTAACCTGAAACTGTTCTTAACCTGAAGCACCACTTTAGCTAATGGGGCCTCCCGCTGCCACCGCGCTGCCGGAGCACGATTTCTGTTCTCATCCTGAAGCAATGTTCTTAACCCGAGGTACTATTTCTGGGTTAGCAGAGTCTGTAACCTGAAGCGTATGTAACCTGAAGCGTATGTAACCCGAGGTACCACTGTAAATGAGTACATGGGAAGACTAGCACACACACATGAGATAATAACAGGCAAGGTTGCTGCGTGCTCACCGGGTGCTGGGGGTTAAAGCTGGACAACATGCTTTGCTTAACACATGAAAGGCACCCGAGCTTTACTTACTTAGAAGCTCAAAAGACTTGGACCCCGCTGGGACCATCTCCAAACTGCGGTGCCTCTAGTACACACAATCTTCTACTTGTCTCTTTTGACTGTTGAGAGGAAGAGAGGCAAAAGCTTCTGCTTTCACTTTTTTATAGTTTGTTTTTTTTTTAAAGCAAATACATCATCCTTTGTTTTCCTCTGTGTAAAGTCTCACTGTTTCCAACTTAGATGTTTTTAATTAGATAATATTTTGGTATTTTGAAAGAGCCCGAACCATGGTTTTGATATTTTGGTTAACTTTAAACTAAAGAGAGTTGGAATAAAACAGTGTTCCTAGGGGGAAATCGTACTTCAGTCAAAAGTGAACACAAAGGCTTTTGACTTCTTGAATGCAGAAAGGAAGAGAAGGGGAGGTGGTGTACATAACCCCGAGGCTTACTGCAGCTCATTTGTGATCGGTCGAAACCATGGTTTAGAAGAACGTTTGAACGAAGTGGGCTTTTATTTACGGCTTCACCAGAAAGATACTTATTTTTTGCTTATTGGGAACTGGAGCCAGGATCAGGTCTAAAAAAACACGTGAACCCGACATATTGCGTGTGAGCCAAGCAAATTCCATTTACTATGTACATAGAATCACAGAATTGCAGAATTGGAAGGGACCTAGAAGAATCGCCTAGTCCAACTCTCCTGCAATGCAGGACTACGCAGGGATTGAACCTGCAACCTTGGCATAATCAGCACCACGCTCTAACCAACTAAACTATCCAGGCTCCATTGGACTACGTTAAGTCATAAGAACATAAGAAGGGTCTGCTGAATGAGGCCAATGGCCCATCTATTTTTCACAGTGGCTAACCAGATGTCAGTGGGAAGCCTGCAAACAGGACTTGAGCACAAGAGCATTTTCCTCTCCTTTGGTTTCCAGCAACTGGTACCAAGTATTACGCATAGGTCCCAGATACCTGAATTCAGATTTAACTTCTGAGGCAAATTCCCTGCGTGGCTTTCGCAGGACAGGTTCTGTAGGGCATCGTGGGAAGCAGTAACTCATTCAGAAATTCAAAATGTATTATATATTCTAGGCCCCTGAACCTCTCTCTGATGCTTTTGAAAGCATAAGAGTGCTTTCACGAATGATGTAAGGAATGAATTTCGTTCCTGATGCATGCATCCTGAATGGGATGCAGAATGCAGGAGTCATTCAGTGTCTCTTCTGATAAGGGTGATCTGTACATTCTATTTATTAACAACAACAACAAAAATTAAAGTCTAATTCTTTTGGGTATTGTTTGTGAGAAGGCCATCGCAGTCCACATCGGATAACAGAAACTTAATCTTTGAGGCTTGTTTTTGCAAGTCTTTCTCAGAGTCTTAATTCCTTTATCATCCATTGCATCTCACGACTTAAAGAATGTTTGGGGTAAATGTCAATTTTATATCACCATCCCTTACTTAAAAAAAAATTAAAATGCCTGATTTGCCGGATGAACAAGTATATTGAATGGATTTCCATAAAACTAGGATGTGAACATCTCCAGGCATAGAGACCTGCCTTTATAACACTAAACTCTAACAAGGCAAGCAGAGAAATCTTTAGGTTTGGTTTCCTAGATCTCGTTTATGTGTTGTATCAGCTGGTTAGAAGCCAAGACAAACGCTGAACAGTTGCCATTGTTAACAGCAGGTGAAAACCAGGCCATTGGCTACTGGCTGCTGTCTTCAGGGCATACATGAGTCAGCCCCACATGCTGTTTATAAATCCTGTAGATTACCTATTTTGCATCTTCCGAACAATGGTCTCCCCTCTTCCCCCCCTCCCCCTCCCCCGTAGGCTGGCTAGTTCTGCATGTTGATACTCTAGATTTTGAAAAATCCCACCTGGCAGTCAACCAAGAACAATGAAGTACTATTGTTTTTCTGGCTCGAAAATAAAACTATCCCAAGTTCGTAGACAAAACGGAGAAGTACGTGGAAATTAATTTGGTGCCAAGTTATTTCTCTGTCTGACAACAGACTTCCCGAAAAAGCATGTCACTGAAGATTAACCGTGGCCAGGGCTGCAACGGGTTGAGTGTTTGCATGCATGTTGCTGATTGTAATCAGAATACAAATGTCACGAGAAGCCGTTTCTCTGCGTGTGTACCCATGAAAATTAAAATCGGACAGCAGCAATGGAGCCTGAGATAATAGCATATAATCACTCCTAGCTGCCCAAACAAATTGGCTTGCATTTGGCATGGGGTGTTACTGTTAAGATAATGCACCTCTGGTTATTCTGTTGAAGTTCTTTTTCTAATTTCCAAAGGGCTGCAAAAAAGCTAAGGGGGACAATTTTACTACTAGCTCTGAGCTCATACGTGGCTCCCAGTGAGATGTGCCCCACTCTCACTGATTCCAAGACAAAATGAAGTTTGCACAAGAGAGGTGCAGATTGACCCCCTCCATCCCCAGATAATGAGTGTGAACTTCTCTGCATCATGTAAACATCCAGCTGCATGGAGTTTGTATGAGCTCGCTTTCCTTCCTAGAGAATATAGAGGATCTGAACTGCACCCTGGGGCATGACAGACCACCAACCACTTTTAAACTTAAGAGGTTACTGTGACATGTGCTCCCCTGCCAGATTACTGGTGGGTAGGATTGGAGGTGGAGAAGACTGTGTTATGAGCCCCTGCATTCTGATGTTGCTCAGCGGCGCCAGTTATAGTGTCTGCAATCAGAGCATTCTTTAGGAAAGATTTCTGCCTTGTCAGGATTCAGCTTAAACTTACTGGCCCACATCCAGCCCACCATGACCACGACGTCCAAGCACTGACTCAGCACATGCGCAGCCACACCAGACACAGCGGAAACAGAAGTAGAGCTGGGTGCCATCAGCATATTGATGATAGTGCACTCCCTATCCCCTGGTGACTGCATCAAATGACTTCCTAAATATATTGAACAGGATTGGGGATAGAATTAAATTCTGCAGCTCAATGCAGCTTAACAGCCAGGGTGCTGAGGTCTAGTCACCCAGGGCTACCCTCTAAAACAGGCATGGCCGTACTTGGCCCTCCAGCTGTTTTGGGACTACCAACTTCCATCATCCCTAGCTGACAGGACCAGTGGTCAGGGATGACGGGAATTGTAGTCCCAAAACAGCTGGAGGGCCAGGTTTGGCCATGCCTGCTCTAAAACATGTACTCCAGGGAGCAGCAGAACCTCTGTAAGACAGTACTGTACCCGCCAATCCTAACCCATTGGAGATGCCATGGCTGATGGTATTGGAAAGCCTCGAATGAAGCAAGATCACTAACCCCATCCATTTCCCAATCAAAGTCATTCATCAGGACACCCAGGGACTCGAACTACCAAAAACCTCACAGCCCATCAAGAGACATACACACATTTCTCCCAATACCAACACATACACATACACTCTCCTCAGCTCTTGGGCAGTCATAGAAATCCAGGTTGGAATTTGCTTATTTATTTTATAAAGTTTATACACTGCTTGATTGTAAAAACAAAAAACAAATCTCAAAGCAGTTTACAAAAGACAAAACAGTAAAACCAAGAACAATTCACAATCCTAACATACAAAAGTCAACTTACTAAAACAGATCAAAACTACCTAAACTTTATATACATCCGGGTAGGCTTGTCTAAACAGGAATGCTTTAGCAGACACCAAAAAGGGTACTGTGAAGATGCCTGCTTGATCTCAATAGGCAAGGAGTTCCAAAGTATAGGAGCTTCCACACTAAGCAATCAAATTATTACAAATGTGGAACAGGTACTATGTGGCACCTGACAGTAGTGCCAATTCTGCCGATCGAAGCAGGTGAGTGGGCACATACGGGGTAATCTCATGTGCTACCTGTAGTAGTGCCAATTCTGCTGATCGAAGCAGTCAAGTGGGCCTATGGGGGCTTAATCCACCTGTGGAATGCCTCAGCGATCTCCCTCATCTGTCATCCAAATGGAAGACTGGAAGGTTCTCGTCCTCAAAAAGCCTACTGTGTTGTGTGGCAGAGGATTGATCAGGAAAGAGACACAGTGAAATTCCAGCTCAGGAAAAGTAGGTGGAGAAACAGAGCCCCTGGCTATTTGTTCCTCTTAAAAGCCATCCAGTTGATCACTTTATATCCTGACAGGATTTGAGGGGCTCCCAGGTTTCAGCAGCAGTTTTTTAAAAAGGCAAGAGAGAGTGAAAACCAAGTTCGTTCAAAAGATGCTGACTTCTTCCAGTGATTTTTCTCTGGGGGGACGCAGGTGTGCGCATACCCCTAAATATTTTGTGAATCTTAAGTTTGGCCTCATTGAGGGGCAGTATTTCAATATGAGTAGGAAAATGAGAGTACCCCTAAACATTTTTTTAAGGGGGAAAAAAAGTACTGACTTCTTCAGCTATAGCTGGGGAAAGTAAACTGTGATGCCATAACTCTGTCAGCAAACTGAGAACAGTTTCAGTCTTCACTAGACAAATGTTAAAGTACATTTTCTTGAGAACTGTAATAGTCTATGGCATGACCGTTCTTGTTCACCTAGCTATTGTGTATGTCATAGAATTCAGTTATGGGACTAATACACAAGTCTATTAAGAACACTCCACTCCCTGGTCAGCCACGAAGCTGACTAGTCTGTCACCGTCTCCCTACCTAACCAACCTCGCAGGCTTGTTGAGAGGATTATTTGGGTTAGGGGGAAAGCACATAGGGTGCTCTGAGAGCCCTTTGGAGAAAAGGTGGGATACAAATGTAAAAAAATAAACAACATCTTTCCCTTTACATTAGACAAAAAGTAAGTATAAAAAATGTAAACAGTGTTATTCAGCCAGGCTCGTAGGTAAATCTGCCCAACATTTGCATCACAGGACTGTTGCTTTCTAGAAACAAATACCCAGGCTGTGAAAATAACTTTGAAACAGGAGCATGGGACTTCGGTAGGATATTTGTTTAGCCTTTGTTTTGTCACCATGTATTTGTTCCGTGCAAATACATGTGGGAGCATTGGGGGGGGGGAGAGACACCCAGAAATTTGCAAGAAGATGCTCTTGCACTGGAAGTGTCAGTGTGATATACTGGCTAGACCTGGGAAGGCCAACATGGTGCCCTGTACATGTTAATTTAGACTATACTCCCATCAGCCCCTGCCAGGCTGTGGAAGGTGGGGCTGGAGTGTTGGATTTGGAGTGCGAAGGATTTGGTTCCCCCTTTCAGTCATGGATCCCCTTGACTGACCTTGCCCAATCAACATCACCTACCACACAGAGTTTGTAGTATAAAATGGGTTATGCAGCCCTGACTTCTCTACAAGAAGAGTAAGATGGAAATGCAACCACTACCTCGTATTTTCACGATACAGCCCAGTCCAATAAAAGAAATCCTTAATGCACTGAATGCTTGTGTATGTTTTGACAGTAGCTTCATAGTAGTAACTTTGGTTTTTCCCCTCTGCCCTCCTAAGGCATCAAGACAGAAGACAGCCTGAGCCATTCGCCGGGGCAGAGTGGGTTCCTTAGCTATGGCTCTAGCTTCAGCACCGCAACGTCAGGACAGGCGCCCTACACCTACCAGATGCATGGTCAGTATGGCTTTACGTAGCTGTGCAGTTTGTTGCAGCATCAAACAGTTCCAATTTTTGTCGGATACTGATGGTTTATTTTGCAAGCTATGGTCTGTGTGTTTGGGACAAGACCATTTCCTCCCCCCACCCAGCCTCAATTGTGTATTGATGCTGTATTTTACTGATACTGTAATCTGCCCATATAGTTGCAGAATTAGGT